TACTTAAGGAATATATATAATGACAGATATATATGTAAGTGTATGTCTGTGTGTATGTTTGTTTATGTGTATCTGTTATAATCTGAAATAAAAATATACCTTAAAAAAAACAACAGGGGAAGGTGATCCAAAATTTTCTATTTTTCCCTTGCCCTTCACACCTTTAACCACAAACATCTTGAGCGCTAATTCTGCTCCTCCATTTTAGCTGCACTTTGCACACTTTTTATATTTCAGCAGCAATTCTGTATCACAGTTCAGAAAACACAATGAAAAAGCTCCCTCATTCCATACTACTGTATCAGATTCAATTGCAATATGGCTGTTAATAATGACCAAGTAACTTTGTTAAAACTAGGATCAAGAACAAACTAAGCACTTTTCTTGACAACTTTACCAGTTTCAAATGTTCTTTTCTTCTTTTTCCAGAAAATGACGTTGATGAACCAGCTTCTGATTCTGGGGTTCCTGGTTTGCAGTTATCCTCCTCCTCCTCCTCTTCATCTTCATCAAAGCACCACTCTGGTAATGGAGGAGGTGCTGGTGCATCTTCCGCATCACCATAACGCCGAAAGAGCTCTTTCAAATAATCACCTTTATAGATACCAGGTGGTCTGGCTTGGGCAAATGTAGCCACAGCTGCTTCAATACTGCAACAAAATACAAATTGCATGAATGAACTGTAAATAAAAATGGAAATAAGAATCCACAAAAGAGCATAAAAGGGTAAGACATCACCATGTAGCAAAGAAGATAAGAGCACGAAACTCCAAAGGAAGGCAAAGAATGATATTACCTATGTCTAACCTAAAATGCCACAGCGGGATTTTCAAAGCTGTTCACACATTTTTATAAATCATATGCAAGAAGTTTCCAAAACTGAAAGTAGTCTAAGGTCTTTACAGTCTGCCAAAAACAATGCAGCTTGAGACCACTTTAACTGCCTTGGCTGAGTGCTAGGGAATCATGGGAACTGTAGTTTATTGTAGCTTTGCTATAGTCTATTTGGAATTCTTTTGGAATTCCCTAGTACGCTCCATTAGCCATCGTATTATTTGTAATGTGATCCCTGGTGCCTCTTTATTTCCTGAATCCTGCTTGGACCTCTGGGATTTCTCTCTCCATGTGTGGTTGAAGTCTATGTTGCAGTATTCTAAGCATAATTTTGCTTGCATGGGAGATTAGTGCTATGGTTCTATAGTTGCTGCAATCTCTTATGTCTCCCTTTTTGTGGATAGAGATGTATATTGACTGCTTCCAATCTCTTGGCTATCGCTTTGTCTTCCATATCTGTTGACATATGTTGGTTAGCACTAGAGTTGACTCTGTCAATGTGGATTGCAACAGTTCTATTGGTATATCATCTGTTCCTGGAGTCTTGTTTTTTGCCATTTCTTTTATTACAGCTTCCACCTCAGTTTTTAGAATTTGGAATTATTTAGTTTTTATTATTATTTAGTTTTAATTATTTGGTTTTTAGAATTTTAGAATTATCTTTCCTAGTGAGTCATATTTTCTCATGATATATCCCAAGTACAACAGTGTCAGTTTAGTTATCCTGGTTTCTGGGGAAAGCTCAGGCTTGGTTTCCTCTAGGACCCATTTATTTGACTTTTTGCAGTCCATGGTATCCACAGAACTCTCCTCCAGCACCACATTTCGAAAGCGTTGATCCTCTTCCTATTACCTTTCTCCACTATTCAGCTTTCACAACCATATATAGAAACTGGAAATATGATGGCATGGACAATCCTGACTTTGGTATTATATCTGATATTTTAATATTCTAGTGAAAGACCTTTCCTTTCAGTAAGATCTAGGTATCCTTTAGGGGAAACTCCTTTGTGAAGATAGAAGTATTTTGTATGCAAGTATTAAGTGGCAAGATATTGAAAGGAGCACAGATATGCAAACATTATGGTACTGTTTGGTATTTTATAGTCTATGGGGAGTAGAAATAATGTCATATGTTAAGAATCTGGCAGGGCATAAATAATGCAAATACAATTTATAATGACAAGCACAGAAAACCTATTTTCTGATAAACAAAAGAATCTCCTCTTAGTAGCATAACAAAACATACCCAATGGCCAAATGCTAAAGCAGGGGTAAGCAACCTAAGGCCCAGGGGCTGGATGCAGCCCCCCAAGGCCTTTGGACCGGCCCCAGGCCGGTCCTGCCACTGCCACTGCCACCCGCCATGATGATATTGATTATTGTTGTTATTACTTGTTCTAGGGGTTTTCTTGGCAAAATCTCCACAGGGGTTTTGCCATGGCTTTTCTGGGGCTGAGAGAGTGTGCATGCATATTTTTTATTTTTTATATTTATTTATTTATTTATTTATTTATTTATTTTTGGTGCTCCCCCCCCCCCCAAATTGTCTGAAGGACAGCAACTCGGCCCCTGGCTCAAAAAGGTTGCCTACCCCTGTGCTAAAGCATGAAAATTAAAATGAAGAAAATGGCAAGTGTAATATCCTTTAAAATGGTTTTACAAGGCAAATCAATAACAGGTTCTATGCATAGCTGAGTACTTAGAATCAAGCAAAATATCACACTGTAGACAAGGGGTTAAAACCAATGCTAGTTGCTGCTAGAACAGATCAACTGAATTCAATGATACCTATGTAAGTGGAGGCTGAGAAATGTCTTTCATTTCAATGTGCCTAATATAGATGAGGAGAGCCAGCATGACGTAGCGGTTTGAGTGTTGGACTGCAACTCTGGAGACCTGGGTTCAATTCCCAGCTTGGTCATGAAACCCACTGGGTGACCTTGGACAAGTCACATGCCCTCAGCCTCAGGGGAAGGCAATGGCAAACCTCCTCTGAACAAATCTTGCCAAGAAAATCCCATGATCCCATTAGGACCACTATAAGTCAGAAATTATTTTGAAGGCACACAACAACAACAAACTAGAGAAGAGACAACACTGGATTTAGCTCAGCAAGACAAGAGAACTCAAACAATTTGATGTGCTGAAATACTAAAGATGTTATATCTACAACCTACTTCACAGAGAACATAAATACTGTATTTTAGTTTTTGACATTGTATATACTATGTTTTCTTATTGTTGGGTACTGCTTTGATGAGGTAAGCAGTTTATGTTTGTGTTCATTTATTGTTGTTATGTGTCTTCAAGTCATTTCCAACTTGTGACACTAAAGTGAATTATCACAGGTTTTTCTGGGGCTGAGTCACCCAGTGCAATTCCATGGCCAAACAGGGAATCAAACCCTAATCTGCAGTTGTAATGCAATGCTCAAACCACTGCACCACACTGGTTCCTACCTGTGTGTGTGTGTGTGTGTGTGTGTGTGTGTGTGTGTGTGTATGAATGTATAAATATGTATGTGTGTCTGTACAGAGTGTGTGTACGTGTCTGTGTGTAATCTCTCTCTCTCTCTCTCTCTCTC